ATAGTAGTAATATATACAAATATACAAATTTGCAACTGATACAAGGTACACCTTCTCACCACGCGATGCTCAAGGCTCAGCCCATCCTCAGCTAATGATCCTGGAGCAGACAAGAATCCCAAAACTGCAATCCCAGAAAAGATAAGAGTCCAAGAGTTAGAGAGAGACAAGCAAGTGAGAGAGAGAAAGACAACCCCGAGTGAGAGAACGAACTTCCAGATAGTCCTCATAGTATACTGGTCACGACATGTATGATATAAAATTTGTGTCTCAATCCTAAACCTAAGATCAATTACTAGGCTAGTAATTTGGGCTGTGCTCTCCCCCAGCTTCTCCTGCCCCTGAAGACACTGGCCCAGCAGAGAAGCTGGAAAGTCCTTGACTGTCCTGGCAGCAACTCTAACCATCAGCTTCTTCTCAGCACGAATCCGAAACACAGCCTCTCACTAGCTATTGTGAAGAAAGTTAACTCCATCCCAGCCAAAACCAAGACAATGTGTTTGACCTTTCCAGCAGCTGGAGGAGCCTGTGTCTCACCTAATGTCCCTGAGGACTCCTCTGGCTCTGGAGCTGGCCGTTGCTTTGACCATTTCTGTACAACTAAACTCCCAGACAGGGCCATTGTATCCAAATTGCTTGTTGAGAAATGCCACTGGATGTGGACAAGCCTGGCTGCCTGGGAATTGTTTCAGAAAGTGGGCACAGGGTAGCAATGTGTCAGGGATCTTCTTACAGTGCAAGAAGATGAGCCCTTGGACTGGAGAGGTCATGGAGCTGGTCATCCATGCAGAAAACAGACTGAGCAGGAGAAGTACAGCTGGATGAGTCCCCTTTTCAGTGACTAAGACTCACAAAGTTTGGAAAAGTCAGAATAAATCACCCCACATGTCCCACATCCTTCCTCCACCAATAACCAGACTCACCTCATGTGAGGAAGGTGTTTCATTCTGGATTTTCATTCTGGGAAACCACTTCCCTGCTTTGTACAATTAGCAGCTTGTTAATGTCTTGCGTATCAAGGATTTACATATTTTTCTCTTTCACAATAGCAGACAGTGTCATTATCTTCTGACATCCCATTGACTTCATCTAAAATTTGATGCTGGCCCTTGTCCCATGACTATGGGTCCCCCAGATGACTCATCTCCACCAAGTAAATGCTTCTTCTTTATTTCAGCCTGTGTCTGCACATCCTTTGTAGCTCCAATAGTTCTTAGGGCATGAGAGAGGAAAATGGGGCTCTTAGCCGATCTCTCTCCCCTTTTAGTACCCCACCCACTGCCATCCTGACTTCATAGCTCCTTGATGTCATGGGTCCAGCCTTTCTTCTCACTGCCACCCAGGGCTCTCCTAGGCCCATCTGTGCACTGTGCTGATACCAGCCTTGTCTTCTTCTGTTGTATGTTGGGAGAAGGCACATGTTATGCAGTGGCCTTCTCCAGAATATTTTCTAAATTGTTTTTCAAGTATCTTCACATACGTGTTTGCTTTGAGGTCTTATTCGAGAGTTTCTTTCAGGCAGCTTTGTATGGTAACTTTCTCTGCTGCGTTTGCCAAACAACTGCATAGGATCTCCCAATGCAAGGTGGGAACACCCGGAGACACAGAGTCTGCCTTGCAACCAGATACCTCATTGGTGTGAGCAACAGAGAGGGCTTGAAATGTTTTTTCATGTGTTTGAAGCGTGTATGGTTGGCACATTCATTACACCAGTAAAGGTGGGCAAAACCTGATGATTGTATCAGTGCCAGAGGCTGTACTAAGCTGCTCCTTCATCAGATGTGAATCAAATCTTCTACATGTGATGACTGGAGAAAGCTGCTCTGACTTCAGCAGGGAGTCCCAGAAGGGGGGTAAAGAAGACAAATTCTTATTATAAGGAAGGGAATAGACTCTGTGGGTATTCTCATGACCTCAACAATTCTTCAGGAAACACCAGTCTCATCCTACTCACCTGCCCTCCTAGCCCTGTCCTGAGAGCACCTCAGGAGAAGACAGTCTCATACCTAGCTCCCCTGATTGTTTTCCTTCATCTTTTCCCTAAACTTGCCACCTCCCCATCTCTCACTGACTGTGTCTCATGTGGGGTGGAAGTGAGTGTGTGCCCACAGGTGTGTGCTCACCTCCATGATCAAGGTACCCAGATAGGAAAATACGAGCTCTGATATTTACTTTCTCCATTCTCCCTTCTCTGCTAGGCAACCCCACAGGACCTTTAAGATAAAAACCTTTTCAACCTTGTGATAGGACCTGTGTCCCAGGCTGTGATATGGGGAATAGATCAAAGAGGAACTTGGAGAAGAAAGCTTGAGAACCTCCCTGTGGGAGATGGGAACCTTCAGGGGATGTTACTATGGCCAGGATGGAGACTGACAATCCCAGAATTGGGTTGGTTGACCAGGACACCATGGGGACACCCTTCCCACTTCACTCCAATTGTTATTGCCCACCTTGGTGCTCCAGGTACCTGAGCGTGCAGTCCTTCCCACCAACCCAAGGATGCTCCAGCTATGGGAAGGAGTGTGAATGGCTGTGTGCACATGTAACAGTGAAGATGAGCACTGCTTTTGTCTCATATGGTAGCTAACAAAGTACAGGTCCCAGGGTCTCTAGGTGACAACCAAGTTCCCCTTCAGGTGTGATTGCACCTCATAGGTTTTCTTGGGGTATGTGCCCTCCAGAGTTTGTCATAAGCCAAAGCCCCTCAAGCTTTGGAGGTACAGATGCCACCTCTGTTCTGTCTGCCGTGGCACTTCTCGGCACATATTGTCATTACATAGCAAGGACCAAGACTGAAAATTGGCCAGCCATGTGATACACCCGCCTGGAGTTACTGCTGGGTGCAGAAATCATAGAATCATAGAATCATAGAATCATAGAATCATAGAATCACAGAATGTTTTGGGTTGGAAGGGACCATAGAGATTGTCTAGTTCCAACCCCCCTGCCATGGGCAGGGACACCTTCCACTAGACCAGGTTGCTCAAAGTTTCATCCAGCCTGGCCGGGATGGAGCCTCCACAGCTTCTCTGGGCAACCTGTTCCAGTGTCTCACCACAATCACAGTGAAAAATTTCTTCCTAATATCTAGTCTAAATTTACCCTCTTCCAGTTTAGATCCATTACCCTTCGTCCTGTTGGTACATGCCCTTGTAAAAATTCCCTCCCCATCTTTCCTGTAGCCCTCTTCATATACTGGAAGGCTGCTATTAGGTCCCCCCGGAGCCTTCTCTTCTCCAGGCTGAACAACCCCAACTGTCTCCGCCTGTCCTCATAGGGGAGGTGCTCCAGCCCTCTGATCATCTTCGTGGTCCTCCTATGGACCTGCTCCAACACTTTTATGTCTTTCTTACGTTGGGGGACCCAACAATACATGACTAAGTGAAATACAGGTAACAAACTCATACTTGTTTCAGAAATAAGTATATTTTAGGTGTTACACAGACAGCATGCACACAATTTTTCTTATCTGGTAGCACTACGGCAATATAATACCAGTAATGAAGAAGCTATCATACGGCAATAATCTGCCATCAGCTTCAACAATGCTGTGTGCCCAACACACCACCTTGCTCCTGGTTACAATTCCTGTTGTAAGAGAGATGCTTCAAGACTTTCTGTGGTCATGGGAGTCCTCTTTGCACCTCACAGTCTGTTGTTCAGGAAGGGCCAGAGCATGCTGGCTGCTATCCCTGCTGCCATCCCATAGCTGTACCTCGCACTGCTTGCAGTGTTGACATTGCAGAAGTCGGTGCTGCAGCAAGAGATATTCCAGTTGCCCAGTTTGAAATCCTGGTATGACGGTCGGCATGATGAGTCACAGCCCTTGTTGATGACGTTGAGGACCCCTACAATCCCTGGAAGGAAAGCAAGGCCATTATTACAAGGACCCAACGAAAGCCAAGCCAAACCTCATGGAACTGAATAATGAGATTATTCTTATCTGAGCTCACATCCTGGAAGAAAAATGAGTGTTTCCAAACAGCTGGATGGTTTACTGTAGCAGAGTGTATTTTTGAGATGTCAGTTTGTCTTTTTTTGGGGGGGGAAGGGTTTCAATCACCAGGTGTTTGCTTAAGGTGATGTACAGTTCTCAGGGGTTTCTAAAAAAGCACCAAGTACAGAAATGCTAGTAATTTAATTAGTAATTAAAGTCACACTATTAACACTTCTGTTGGGGAGTCTAAGCTACTAACAGATGTGGAGAAAACATGTGGGGTAATCTTTGCTCATATGCCGTGCATCTTTGTTGAACAGAGTGTTTCAACACCCAGGGAAGTTACGGAAAGATGGTTATCCCCATTTCACAAGTGACGGAGTTATTGTTTGATTTGTTTTTGAAAGCCACAGCCTATTTTTCTGTGGCTGGTTGATACTCAGTAACTGCTGGTTACAGCAGAACCTCTTGATCTTGCACAATCTATCCTGGGCACCAAGTTTTTGACATATGCAAATTTAGTGTATAGGGCCAAGGGGTTATACAAGGTGTTGGCTCTTCTGCATGTGAATGCATGGCCATGGGTTTGCACATTTCCAAGAAAGACAATGCCTATTGGAGGTGTTATATTTACTGCCTGACAAAGATGAGTTTGAACATGCCACTGATGAGTTTTGTGCTCCAGGTGCAAGAGTAACTGAGCCGTCACCACAGATCTGGACAGGGCAAGCTTTTTTTTTTCCAGATCTAAAATGGGAGACTTAATCTGTTAAAGGAGCTTACCCAGAGACACACAGAGCATTCAGAGCTGGCTGTAGATGGGCCTCAGTGTGCACACTGAGGTTTTCTGACCCACACCAGCTGATGTATCTAGAGTAGGTGAGGCTGGCTTGAACACTTGAGGCTGGGACCATGCTTGGCTTCAGCATCACAACTAAGATATTGCCCACCCCTACTTTGACTTACTAATCACATCTGTCTTGCATGCTTGCTCCTCAGACTTGCAGGTCTCTTTCATCATACAGTCGGAGTTGCTGAGCTTTTTCATGCAGTTGTAACACTGCAAAGAAGAACCTGCAAGAGACCAAGAGGAGTTGTAAGACAAATCTATCTGAAGATCTCCAGCGAACCCAACTTAGCGCTTGCACTGGGAAGCAGGACCTCAAAGGAAGATACACCTTTGTTGTTTGGAAAACAAAGTTTTTTCCATTTTTTTTTTGGTGGAGAATAAATAGTACACTCACTTGAGGTGAAAGTCAAGATTTGCAGATGATGAAGATGTTTCAGATGTAGTCAGTGCAGTGAGGGAGCAAAAACAGACCAGCTGGAACACTGGTCCCATTGACTGCTCTCATCAGTCAATGGAAAGTGCTCCCCAAAATGCTTCTTCCTCTGCGTTTGGGCTGCCTAACTGAGTTCCTGTCTGGAACAGGCTTTTTGTGATATTCCCACCTCCTGAGATGGAATGAAGGGATGAAGTCCCCAGAAGGACAGGCTGATATTATATGCCACCCCCTCATGGACATGCCACTCTATGGGGGACGCAAGACCATGTTGTTAACATCTGCTGTGCTGTTATGTGCATCAAGCAAAGGCAGAATAAGCATTGCAGCTTACAATTGATTGGCCTTGATGAAAAATAGTCCCCAGAGGAGTGAGACCATGCTGCAATTTTTCTGTTACCTACCAATGCGCCAAGGCATCAATGGAGCCTTGCAAGAATGAAAGTTAATATGTATGTATGTAGTTTCACCCCATTGCTATCAGGCTTGTATCACGAATCCCCCAAGTCAATGCCATAATGTCTAAATACTCTTTTAGGACACAGAAAAGCCCTATTTAGAAATTAGTGTTATTCAGAGCAGGAACGAGAAGTGATTTGAGGAACTTGATCTCCCTCTGTCCAAGCCGTTCTGGTATAAATGACCAATGCAGTCATAGAGACAAATCCCAGTTTTTTTTGTAGTGGTTCACTCTGCTCTCATATTTACCTGACTTTTAAGGCAATGAGAGTTAAATTTCAGAGCACTCTGATGGAAGCTGGCAAAGGAGAAGGTATAGCAGGACTATACCTGACCCTTCTCAGCCTATTCTTTAAGCATCCTCTGCTGATGGAGAAACATTTCTGCTCAGATGTGCTTGTTCTGTTCTCTGGTAATAGGGAAAAGCTGTTTAAAAACTATTTTTTTCCCGGTGAGGCTAGGAAAACTTGACCATGTCCAAATCCCATCCATCCAGTTTATAAAATAACACATGATGACATTCTCTCTTTTTCTGTCCCATTAAAATTCTGAGAGTCTGTGCAGCATCAGAGGCCATTTTTTGAAATTAAAGTCAGAAAACAAGTTGGAATAAAACTTACATTTGCATAAATGTTGCAATTTTGATAGCATGGGAAGAAGAAAACAATCCTCCCACCCCACTTAGAAAAAAAAAAAAAAACAAAAAAACCCCAACACACATAACTATATGGTCTGGCTTAAATAATTTTGATTTCACCTAAATTCAGTTTTTTTTAGGATTTATTTTTCCTCTATCCAGCACTAGGATCACACTGTCAGCAGGGTGGCACTGGGCATTTTTTCTGTGCAGCACCCTGGACATCCCATCAAAATGCAAAGGTCTTCATATGACAACTGTGTCAATATCAAGGCAAAGATGGATGAGGCTTTGAGCAACCTGGTCTGGTAGAAGGTGTCCCTGCCCATGGCAGAGGGCTTGGAACTAGATGATCTCTAAGGTCCCTTCCAACCCAAACCATTCTATGATTCTATGATTTCTTCCCTCACTGCCAAACCCCATCACTTCTCTCCCAGCAGAAGATCTCCTGAAGAAGATGTGGGATATACTCTCCATGCTGTCTTACCTGAGTCAAAGCACAGGACTGCTCCCAACAGGAGGACAAGGAAAGCCTTCATTTTGGAATAGCCTCTCTCGTGCTGAATCTGGGTTGTTTCCTCGTGGGACAGTTTATATACCATGGGAGGTAGCAATAAGGCATGCCCAGAAGGTTACCCTGTGAAGGCACCTGAAAGAAGCTCCTCAGTGGACCAAGGGAGGGGTTGGGTTGTGGCGGTGATATTTGCATTGGGTGCCTCTCCTCTCTGACTCTAACTTTCAGAGCTACCAGCAGCTCCCCTCCACCACTACACCCATGCCTTTCCTCCTACCCTTCGGCAAAGTGTTCAGATGGGTGGAAAAAAACTCCGCATTCTTTAGAACAAGGCTGACCTTATGCGTTTCTCCAGAGCCAGTGAGGCTGCAGTTGTACCCTGTGATCAAGGCTCTCCACCCCCATTGGTATCCTGAGTGGAGCTATTGTACTTAAATCAAGGACAAAATGTTCTTTTAATAAACAGCTACAGCTATTTATCTGCACGGGTAAGTGTTTCTGTGACACTCATGGCATGTGGTAGCAAGGTATTTGAGCAAATTAGTGTATTGGCCTCTTCCAGGTGTCCAGGTGCTCATACACTCTTCTTCATGTGTATTGTCCGTAGTCTAGTAAAAAACAATGGCCACTTTAATTTTTTTTGTGTGTTGAAACCAAAGGGACTTTTTGATGGCTTTGTTTGGTATTGTTTTTATCTCCCACATCTGCAGTCTGGTATGCTTCTCTTTGTCTAGTAGAAGTTGGGTATGGTTTTGACACTTGAACTCATATCAACGTGTACTGTAAACAATTCAGGCTTGTCAAAGAAATGTCTCTTCTCATTACAGATGAGGGTGAGTTCAGCCACATTCCAAACTGAAGTGGGAATGTTTGCTTTGGTGGGTTGATTGGAGATCTCTCCCATGCCTCATGTCCTTAGACTACTTCTTGGTACATGCCAATGTAGAAGAAAGCAAGCCATTCTGCTAAATTCACTTTGCCGTGGTTTCTCGCTTTATTTAGAATCATAGAATCATAGAATGTATAGGGTTGGAAGGGGCCAGCCCTATACCAGACCAGCCAATATTTAAGGATTTTTTTCTTTTTTAATCCCTTATGATTATCCCTGTAGCGTTTAGTTCCTTATATCAGGGAAGAATAGGGAAAAAGGGAAAGCACAACCTGGTCCCCCCATAAAATCCACCCAGGCCTTGTATTAAATATTTTTTACTTCAAGCAGCTCATCGATAAGCAAGAGCGTGTGCTCTTTTCATCCTCAGCAGCCTGACTTGCTGCCACTCAAACTCTCCTAGTATTATTATTTCTTTTTATTCTTCTAACAGTAACAGGGCTGCCAGCAAAGACCAGGACTCACTGTGCTGCAGAAGAAATGCACACAGTTAAGAGCTTGTCCATGTCCCAGTCCTGCTTGGCTGCAGCCCAAGGCTGTGAGAACCCAGTAATTCCTATTTCCTTACATCAATTGCTGCTTCTCACTGCTTTTTTGCAACATTTGTGTGCAGTTCCTGCTCAACTCCTGAAGATGGCAAACGTATCCCGTTATAATTACTGTACATACGTTAACATGCAGTTGTCCATAGGCTTGTGTGTGCATAGTATTTTTATTTTCCTGATGTTATAAATTCGCGAGTTCATCTAACTGCATTGAAAGAGACCATCCTGTGATACTAGAATTTCTAAATTCCCATGTGAATCTAAGGATTTCTACAAATCTCTTGGGTTTTGGAGTTTTTTAATGCTATTTTATATTGTCACTGTAGTTTCCTGGAGCTTTCTGTTGAGGACAGAGGGAAGGAAACCTTGATTATTTGCTGTTCACCTGCCTGGCATCAGGCTGGGAAAGTGATGGTGGATCACACTGGACAACTGGATAACATTGGTAGGCATGAGCTGTAAATATGAGGACAAGAAAGGCGAAAGATGTAATGGTGCCTGGGAAATTTTTTAAGCTGAAAGAGGATAAATTTAGATTAGATATTAGGAAGAAATTTTTTACTGTGAGGGTGGTGAGGCACTGGAACAAGTTGCCCAGAGAAGCTGTGGATGCCCCATCCCTGGAGGTGTTCAAGACCAGGTTGGATGAGGCTTTGAGCAACCTGGTCTAGTGGAAGGTGTCCCTGCCCGTGTCAGGGGGGTTGGAACTAGATGATCTTTAATGTCCTTTCCAACCCAAACCATTCTGTGATTCTATAGTTCTAAATCTAGACAGAGATACTGTCCAAAGGCAAAAGAAAGTTGGTCCAACTTCCTGGGCTGTGGCAACCATTTGTCTGGGTGGTCTGAAGAGGCTGTAGGGAAGCCTGCAAGATGCCAGAGATAATGTATTAAGACTTCAGTTGCAGACTGCCTTTTTTTTTGGTGAGGATTTATTTATGAACAGAAAAGAAAAAAAATAACACAGAACCCAGCAAAAAAAGAAAGTAAGGCAAAGTTCCAACACTCATCCAAGCACCTGAATGAGTTGCAGTCCTTGCAAGAACCAGATCATCAGGGCATCCTTCAGAGTCTCCAGCCTCTGGGCTGAGAGGTGTATCACCTTCTCAGATGCCTTAATTCAAGCCAGAATTAAGTGTAAGAACAAGAGGAGCTGCTGTCCAAGACTGTCTGACTCTGAAGAGAGGTCACTGTGTTGCTTGCTCAGCATGAGCGTGGCTTGCAGCTCCTTTTCAGGATACTCTGAAGTACGTATGTGGAGGTTGCAATGGGCTGCAGAGGGAATTTCATTGACTCTTCCACTCCTGGAAGGCATTTGGCATGTGTGCAGTGGATGAGCTGGTGCTGTCTGCTGTGATGTTTGCAAAGCTACTCAGGCTGTGGGAATGTGGGATGTGTGATAAGGGATTTTAATGGCTAATTTTAGGCATTGAAGTGGGAATTTCTAACGGCTGCACAGCTGTGTTCCTGGGAATACAAGCTGTCTCAGGAGCACCGAACTGTCCCAAGTCAGAACGGTGGGGCATAAATGAGACTGAGTCACTAGATGGCAGGAAGGCAAATTGAATTAGGACATGTCTGTAAGGAGGAAAGCATGGATCCTAAATGAAGCATGTGATTGGATAGGCAGGAAGACAGATGGATAGATAAGGGGTGAGAAAGACTTAAAAACAAGTGGATATACAGGTGTCCACAGAGATGGATGAACAGCTAGCAGTCAGGAGGAGTTGGAGTAGCTAGTCCTGTGTATACTCTTCTAACCATGTGTGTGCTTTGCTCTGCTTGTGACAAAAGGCCACAGCGTGTCCCCTGTCTCAGCCTAAAGTATTTCTTATCAACCTCTCATCTGTTTTCCGCTCTCCTGTGCACATGTTTTAGGATGGACAGGTACAATGCTGACCCAGCAGCAGGAAACGTGATTATTAATGTTCCAAGGCTGCCCTTGACTGGCAGCAGAGATTGGCTCCAACTGCTACATCTGTAGATGCTTAACAATTCCATGTCATGGTCTAGCTCACACTACAAGGATTTTCTTCTAGGTTTGCTGTTCAAGCAATCTTCAGAGAACATGGAGGCAAGGCTAGGCTGCCTGAGGTATCTTTTGGAGTCCAGCAATGGAGACAGGAGCTGTCTTGGGGTCACTGCCACTAGGATGCTGAAGGACCTTTCGCATGTGTACCCTTCCAGTACTTAAACCTTCCAGTACTTAAAGGGGGCTACAGGAAAGATGGGGAGGGACTCTGTATCAGGGAGCATAGTGAGATCTGTAAGTGCACACAAGTACAACTAGTGGGCATTGTAAAGGTTTAATAAGCAAGCAGCCTGTTTGACCTTGAGTATTTCTGCAAGGGTTCAGGCACAAACCCAAACATCCAGCTATTCCCATTTGGGATTTCAAATTTCAGAGGCTAACCTGAGGAGCCTTGGAGAAAAGTTTCACCTTCACATCACACACGTTCTTGCTGACAACCATGAAATCAATGCATTGCTGCAAATTAATCCCACCATGGTGCTAATCTTGTTTGCAGAGCAAACGAGATGGACAAGATTCCGAGGGCTGTAGACGCTGGAGATCCCCATATGGTGGTGCTGTTGTTACGTTGCTAGTACACAGACCTCGGTGTGTGGGAGCAGCCCAGACTGTTTGTTTAAAAATCTCAGCAACTTCAGAGCATCAAAAATGCATTTGACATTTTTTGTTATTTTGCTAATTGCTAAGCTCTTTCGGTTGTAAAAGACTTGGAGTGTGGGATTCCTGCCAGCTTCTGCTGGCAATGCCTTGCGCATGACTGAGTTGTTTGCAGGAAAAAAGGAGTGCATTTTCCTACGCCTATTCATTGGATTTGGGGTAAAGTGTGGGGACAGTAGCCTGTGCTATGTTCACAAAGCAGTTCTGTGGTCTCTTTGCCATCACAAAACACTTTCTTACCCCCTCGCATGCCAAGCACTGCAATTTCTTATGTACCGATGTAGCAAAACGTAGTTTGAAACACAGGCAGAAAACATTACTTGGCTGAATCACCCAGCAGGGCAACATCAGACCTCACACTAGGACCCTCAAGCATCCTAGCTGCCTCCCAATTTGTGTATTTTTCCTTCAATCAAGAAAATTATTTAGTTGCTCTGGCCCCCATAAGAAACCAGAGAATATAAATGAGGAAGAACTCAAGATTTCTATTTCAGCTGCTGCAGCTAGAAAAGGGTAGACCTGATGGCTGGACACACCAAGACACTTATAGGGCCAGCACGGACAACTGCTCCCTATGTGAAGTGGGTGCATTCGATGAATGGCCACTTATGGTCCCTTTTTTGTCCTTCTTGCCTTCATTGTGAGGCCAACACTCTTGGGTGGTACTGCTTACTCCACTTTAACATGGCTTAGGAAGGAAACTCTAGTGCAGGAGTTCAGTTCATGGTCTTACATACAGTGAAAGTATTTTCTTCAGGGAACATATTTATCAGTGCTGTTTTGTAACTTCATTGTGAATTTGTTTACAGAATGTTTTCTGGGTTGGAAAATACCATTTTGTTGTCAAAGAAATGTTCTGCAGAAATAACAAAGCTATTCTAAGTCCAGGATGGATTTTGCAA